AGCAGTATTAGAGAATAAGCTTTTAACTATTTTCTTTAATTAAAATTCAATAGCTATCATCTAAAAGTGCGGAGACTTCTAAGGGAAGGATGTATTAATGAGACATTGATGCTTGTTCTATTAGGGCTTGCACAGAGCGTGTGCTCCTTCCTCCGTGTCCCTCAGCACAGCCCCTGCGAACGCGCACCCTTCTGTGGCTTGCAGCACCTCGTTGGTAAGAGAGTGCGATTTCACAGGCATTACCCCATGAATGTAACCGTATTAATATACATTCGGATATTGCAGAGCTGCCTGCTTGACTCAGTGAGAGGAATGATAGTCCTTTTGTGCTAGCTCTTGAGCAAAAAGATAAATTTCTGTGTATCCAAGCATGTGATGTCTTGCCTGACTGCAATAAACTACAATTTCAGGTAAGCATGTTTTAGTTAGCTCTGTTTTGGGGTCAACTTTCATTTGTACTCTGGGATGAAGACCCTAAATGGAGAATAGAGTCCTGCTCTGATATAGTTTCTGGCGGACACATTAAAGGCCAAAGCAAGGTCTGGAATGGGTGAGCAGATTCTGGGCCAAGTCATTCAAGGACTAGATTGTAATTTGCTTTATTGGGAAAGTAATTGTTCTGCTCGGTCTTTTCCTGTACCAAATTACAGTTGCTGCATTTAGTCTTTTCCTGGAAGTCTCAGCTCCTTGTGGTATAATGGGCTGTCTCTGGGCCTGCAGTCACTTTTGAACTAAGCACGTATTACACAGAGGTCTGCAACTGCAGGGGAACAGGCCTCTCAGAGCAAAGCAGCTCTATTGAGGTGCCAGTATAGATGTAGAGCAGTGAATTTCCTCTCTTCCCTGACTTGGCTTTTCTCAGTGCGGAGAGCCTGCCCACTTCTTTTCCAGGGGAAGATGAGTGGCAGCTCATTTCTGTGTATTCTCATTGCAGAGACCCATGACACAGGCAACCCATACCTTGTATACCCCTCATCTGCTCACAGAGGTGTGTGGGGAGGAAGGCATCCAGCCTAAGGAGAGCAGATAACGCAGCGAAGCACAACAGGGAGGCACTTGGATAGGGACAAGAAGGGATAAGAGCACTGATCAGGCCAGTCTTATCCCCAAATCCTTGTTTCTTGTGGCTCCCAGGTCCGTAGGAGACGTAACTGAAGGAAGGCAAGTCAGGATTAATAGCTTCTGCTGTCCTCTGGCACGTTCTGTCCTCCACTTCTGCCCAAGGCTTTCAGGGAATCTGAGACTCATTTTAAATGTTACTGTTTGCAGCTATTGTCCTTTTTCTCTAATTATATTGGTCAATAATGCTCTAAGGCACCCTGCCTCTTTTGGCCTCCGTTGATCTCTCTCCCTCTGCCTGCTCTCTGCTGGCTTTGTGTGTTTCATCAGTTAACTGCAGCTCCAGGTAATTCAAGGAATTTCTGTTCCAGCTTTAACACCCCTCTCCAAAGTGCCTCTTGCAGCTTCCTTCCCTCCAGCTTCACAGTCTTTCTCCTGACCACAGGAAAAATCTGCTTTTGACCATTAGGAACTGTAAATAACTGAGATGATGCATGCTTTTTAAAATTTATCTGTTTGTCTCTGTGTCAGATGGAAGCTGTACCCCCGGATGCTCAGGGACGTGTCTGTAATGGACCTGTCAACCTCTGTCTTTGGGCAGAAAATCAGCATGCCAGTCTGTGTTGGAGCAACTGCTATGCAGTGCATGGCTCACATTGAGGGAGAGACCGCTACCGCTAAAGGTAAGTGGTGCAGAGAGCGAGAAGTCACTGCAGTGCATCGAAGAGAAGAACAGAATAATCTGTGCCTGCTGTTTGTGAAATCCAGTTTTGTTTCTTGCTTGTGGTGCTGTGTCTCTGATGGGGTTAGTTTCTGATGGAGTTGTTGCTCAGACTAATTGGTTTTTTTTTTTTTTTTTAATTATTGTTTTCCTTTGTTTTGTGCATGTGTTCTCCCTTGGCATAAAAGAGCAATGAGAAATGCAGTATGCAATGGGGAAACAGTTGGGGAGCTGAGGCAGAGCAACCAATTTAATAACTGTTTTGTAACTCTGCCTTCATGCCAGCTATACATCATTTATGAAAACAAACACATAAAAATATATCAAAGTTTCAGAAGCCAATGATAAGGCTGACTCCCCTGCAAGTGGGTGCTAGTCTTTTCTCCTTTGGATTCTCTGGCCAATTTGAAAGGCTAGCCCTTGACTAGTGTAATCAGCATAACTCCTTAACAGAGCTGTGCTGCTTTACATGAGCTGAAAATCTGGCCTTGGGATGGAAAGGAGCTGACCTACTAAAATTAGAAAGCGTCCTGGCTCATGCTGTCTCATTTAAAGTCAATGAGATATAACAGGGCCAATAGAATTTCCTTTCACAGGAAACGTGATGTTCACAAAATCTTGGCTTTAGGGTCTTCAGATTTTCAAAATAACTTGCAGCATTCATATTACTTTATTTTCACATATAGAGTCTCTGTGCTATTCCTGCCCAAGAGGCACTGTAGGCTCAGATGTGCCTTCTTGCTGTAAGTAGTTCCCCATCCTACCTCATCCCTTCAGAGGTGGGACTTCTCCAAAAGCCCATGGAAAGGGAGGATTTGCTCTAAAGTGGCCTTGGCACCTTTTCCAGTGAAACAATGGTCAGCAAACAGCCCAGGTGCCTGCCTTGCTTCCATTACCAGCAGGGAGAGGGCAGGGGACAGTGCTGCTGTCCCTCTTCCACTGTTCTGGCTGCGATTTCTGCAGTGCAGCTCAAGTCACACCCGCAGCAAGTGCCCTCTCTGCGAGGCTGCACAGTCTTATTTCAAAAGGCACCTGGTTTGTCTGCAGGCAGAACGGGCCACGAGGAGCAGAGGCAGCATTTCCTGCTGGCTCCTGCCCCTGCGAGGCCGCGGAGGCAGAAGGAGGGCAGAGCCTTAATCCCAGTGCGTGGAGCAGAGAGCCCCATGATGCCAGAATAGCTGCCCCCCAGGAGAGCTTGTGCCGGTGTAATCAGAAACGTGTTTGGGGCCAACTTCCTGGCTGAGGTGAATGCTTCAGGGGTATGGTTACTGCGTGAAAGGGAACAGGGCTGAAGGAGGTGGTTCATTTTGGAATCTCGGAACCAGTTTTTGGCTGCTTGCCCTTCGGGGCAGCAGTCAAAGGCTGAACGAAGGCCATTCCTGTAAAGCAGGAAGGGAAATAAAATCCTGCACATCACTAGGGAAATAGCGGTGGTGGTGGTTGTTTCCCTGCCCTGGGAAACGTTATGGACTTGGAGTATGCATGCTGAAGATGGCTTTCTGAAGGGGTGTGTGTGTGTGTTTTTTGTTGTTGTTAGTGGAAAATGTTTCAATTACTCCTATTATTGAATAAATCCTTGGGGAGGAAACAAAAATCAATGAGGGAAGATAAGGCTTGGCAGAAAGGGGGCGAGCGGGCACTTCAGGTGAAAAAGGCAGATGCCCAAGAGGTGAGAAAAGGAAACCATTTTGATCTGGGTGCTAGACTTGAGGCCTACAGGGTCTTTGCCCAAACATCTTCAACAGTGTTTGCAGTTTGATGCCATGATAGGGTAGTAATAGTGCATTTGCAAAGGTGAAAACGGGGCAGAGGGGAAAGTGCTGTCAGCTTTCATCTCTGTCACACAACAAATAGATTAAAAAGAGGGAATCTGGGTGTATAGGGGCTACAAAGTGCAGCTGGTGGTATGACAAACAAGCAAAGTGTGAGACAAGCGCATGGCATCCCTCTGTGTGTGAGACGGGGCTGACCAACAGCCTTGGCAGTTGTGCCTTTGGCCCTCTGTCTGTCTGTATCTCTCTTGCAAACATTGTGTGAAAAAGATTGATCATTTTCCAAAATGATCCAAAGAGGTTTTGTAATCTACTATAACACAGATGAATAGATTCATAGATTTTTTTAAGGCCGGAAAAGATTGTGATGCTTCATGGTAGTCAAGGCTGACAGGGATTTTTGCACAACTTCAGCAATATCTCTTTTAGGAAAGCCATTCAGTCTTGATTTGGGAATGAAGTGATAGAGGAATCACCTGTTTCTTGCTGCTTCTGATAACAAAATATAGTCTTATTTCTGGGTTGAATCTCTTTATTTGTAGTTTTCAACAATTGGCTTGCTTAACCCTTTTTGCTAGTCTGAAGAGCCACCTGTTGTCAGAAAGCTTTTCTTGAGCTCCTCCTGCCCACTGTTGAGTTACTTGCAACATTACAGCTGCTCTGTTTTCTCATAATAAGGTATATTTTTCAGGTCTCCAGGCATTCTTATTATCACTTGAACAAGTAAAAATGAAACCTGTATCTGTGTATTTCTATATACTTTTTTATAAATATAAATGTATATATATTTCATGACCATATATGCTTCCTATCACAAAGCTGTTTATGAATACCAGTGATAACCCATGGTATTGTCCCTAGAAATTCAGAAGCTTTTACTTGTTTGTGAAAGGCATTCACTTTGAACATAGCCCTCTGAGTGCATCCTAGGGAGTTAGCAAGATAAGGGCCCCTCTGGGGTAGATGCTGTGTAAAGATGTCAATGAGGACCTTATAGTCTAAAAGACTGAGAAGCAGGATATTAACCAGACTTCAGATGTGAGGCTTCCTTATTCTGAGCTGCAGAGTGATACAAAATCTTAAAAAGAGGTCACACACTACCTGTTGCATACAAATAGCTTTGGGCACTCATCGCAATGCTCCTGCACCGGTAGAATGAACAAAGACGCAAAACCTAAGTAGGCAAAATAAAAAAGCCTGTCCTGTGCATGGATGAGCTATTCATTTAATAGCATCTCCATAACCAATCCAGCAAGCGCTTGCGTGAAGTGAATCTAATTACCAGCCCTGCAGTGAGAGCTGGTCTCAATTCTCTTTAAACAGCAGTGTAGTTGTGAGAGGCTGCCATGATGAATTGCAGCACAACTTCAGTATTGTAGTCCGAGGACTACAAATGAAACATAGCCCTTCTGTTAGCTTTAGACTTCAGTCTTCAGTTACAGATAGACAGAATCATATTTTCTGTAAAAGCAGGCTTCACTGATTTATAATATTTTTTGGAGATGTATTTTTTTTTTCCCCTAAGAGATTTATTAGGAAGCCAAGGATTTTATGCCTATTGTGTATACAGCCCCATTCCACACGATGGAGCTCAAATACCTTAAATTGATTTGAGAAGAGGCATCCTACCACAGTCAGTCCTGTTAGCACTGTTCTGTCTTTTGGCAACTTTTGCAGATATTTCTGGCCCAGGTTATGCTGATTTCACTTTGCAGAGGAAACTCTGAAGCATAATACTGTTAAATGCAAACATATTAACACAATGTTAAGTGAGATTTGAAATGCACAAAATTCAGAACATTCCATAGCCCAGACTCCCACCCATGCTATGGCCTGGCCCCATTTTAAGGCATAAATCTTTAACTGCATATACAGTCAAGTGATACAATAAGCTAACTACCAGGCCTGAGTTATGGTTGTGGTAGATAACTTAATTTTGGAATTTGCTGGCTTTTGTACACTTATTGTTTCAAACTTTAACATGATTATTGCATTTAATTTTCTTGGATTTTAAATCAAAACTAAAGAGCTTGGTGTACTGGCAACCATTTGAGTATGTGGTCAAAAAGCCATATCCTTGAAAGTCAGTAAATTTTTCATCACTTTCAAAGGAGAGGGTAATTAAAATCACACCCTCTGTATTGCATTAACTTTTCATGTAGAAAAAAAATGACTTCAGTTTTGTGCTCTGTTAGAGGTGGAGTGGGGCATTCAGTGCCAAGCTTTTGGTTTGACCTTATAAGATGACAAGGATTAGCTGTAAAGTACACATTTGGCTTAGAGCTTCCCTTAAATTTAGGACGTTCAGGATCAAGGCTTTTGATGCATCCAACTTCTCTTAAAATCTTAAGAGATACCTCTGAAATACACAGAGCAGACTACTGATTGGTTTAAATCAGCTTTGCTTCAACTATACCAATTTACACAAGCCAAGAAAATCTGATACATAATCTTGCGATTTTTGGAAAACACAATGTACTTTGTAAGTTTGAATTTTGGCTCAGGTGTGTAGGAAGCAATGTATCATGTGCCCCTGCTATTGTGAAGGCCTTGTAAGGGTTTCAATATGAGAAGTGATGGCCCAGGTGTCATGCGTCCTAGCTTGAGTCTTGACACACAGCAACTTTCTTC